TGTAATCTTTGAATTATGTAATTGTTTTTTTTTTTAAATAATTAAAAATTTCAAATTCAGAAGCCATTTCTCAAAAGCTGCAAGTTGTTCTGAAGTAAGTGGATCAGTGAAACACTGCAGCATACTCAGGGAAATGCAAAGGAGCAAGGTTTGACATGTTGAAAGTTCTCTTTATTAGAACCTTTTTGCCAGAATGGTCACAGAGGAAATAATTCTGACAACCTAGTGATGCCTATTACATTTCTGTCAAGGGGAATTGTTGTGTAACTGTCTCTGAAAGCTATTGTTTCACTCTGTTTCTACACTTTTGATGACTATCCTGCTCATTTCTTCAAGATTTTATTTCCATCTGTAACAACTGTCTGTTAAAAAAATAAAGGTTAAATTTCTGGGAACAGGAATTTAACACAATTGTGGGTTTCACAGCCTAAGGAATGCTGAACATGGCATCCACATGTTCTACTAGTGAACTTCTGTGAATACACATTAACAGCAGCATTTTCCCTTGATTTGGTATACTACATGTGTTGGAATAAATCAAGCCAGAATTCTTTATGTCCTTACCTTTGAGGTTTTTTAAACCAAAGTAAGGGTTCATTTTGTATGTTTTGGCAAGTGTTACCTACACAAGTGTGTGCTGCATCTGATGTTTCTCTGGAGCTCAGCTTTAATGCTCTGGTGAATTTTCAATATGAAAAGTGTATTTCTGCCAATTTTTTCAGTGTGGACTCAGCTATATTCCCAGAAAAAGGAAAGGGAAATGAAATCCGCATTAACAAAAAAATCTCTGCAAACAAAAAATCATCTAAACACTTCACTTTGCACCTTGGCACATCTTACTTGGTGTGTTGGCAATGTTAGACATTCTCAGGCACTGCTTCCATATAACCATGAGGTTGATCATATCAAGCCAATACCTTTCCATGGAAACTTTGTGTCAGATGCATTTTTGTAGATTAAATATCTTGGTAGCAAAGTGATACAATATGAAGTATGCAAAACTAGGGTCTCAGGAAGGGCAATGCAACAGGGATCATAATCAGTAATTTCAGTTGCAATATCTCCCTACATAGAAATTGGTATCTCATTGAAATCACGTCAAAAAGAAGTCCTGTGGGTCTCACTGCATTGCAGAGACTGTCGGAATATATAAGTGGGTGAAGCTGGTAAGTGGGGGTGTTGGGGGCTAAAACATAAGATGGCATGCACAAAACTGAGCCATGCAGATGTGGGGAGATGCAAGAACACATTTAGAACTGGAATGGAAATGAACTTTGTTTTCACTGGGCCTCTTGTATGCTGCCTACACGTTAGCCTTAGCTTCACACTACATGTTAAAAATTTTTCAGATAAGGAGGAGGGAGTGAAAAACAGTTATGAAACACATTAATTAAACTTTGGTGTTTATATTATAAACATAATATATCACAAACTCTCCTCCCATTTGCAAAGTCTTGTAAGACACAATTTTAAAAAATTGGTGTTTTCCTTTCGTATTGATACTGAGATGCCAAAATGGAGATCTAGATTTCTAAATGTAACCTGTACCCACACATTTCCAAAGTCTATGTGACATAAAAGGTTTTTTTAGATTTGGGATATATAAAGGAGTATATAGGAGAGGAAGGAACAAGTCTGGGAAGGTTTGGCCATGTGAAATTTATCAGGGAAAATATAAATAATGCTATATTTAAATGCCCTAGGTGGCTTAATCTTCATTTGAGACTTCAAAATCTTTTCTGTAAATCTGTCTCATGTAGAATAAGCTGTGGATTGATAGAATCTTAAGTGTAGGTATCATTTTTGATATTAAAATTCAAATTGGCTTGCTAAATATATTGGCTCAACCTCTACTCTTTTTTTAGCAATAGGTAAGATATACCCCTTGCAGTTTTCCCTGGCCTGAATACACATGTAGCACCAGAAGAGAAAATGTTAATTCACTTTGATTAGGACCTTCTGCATGATGGCTACCTAGGTACTTGGCATCCATCTCTGTCAGCTAGTTTCTTGCAAGTCTGAGTTTCAGGACATCATGTGTAATGGAGGAACATGGCACTGACCTGTTATATTGAGTTTGTTTGATTGTGTTTATGCTTAATAAAGGTTTGTTAATTGTGGCAGTCAATCATATGCTGCTACACTGTGTTCGGTAATTTTTCTTCCATCTGGGAATAACATTTTTTTACACTAACCGAAGTACTGTGTCTGTCTTAATGAGGTAATTATTGTTGTGTTTATCCAGATGAATGTGTCTGGGGCTGATATTTTACATTACTCAGCAAAGAGGTCATTCCTGGCAGCTCTTTGCTGATACGATTTCCTCTTTATTTTTGTCTGTGAAAGTTCTGTAAGCAGTACTCTGACATTCAAAGGGTGTGAGGGAGGTAATGGCTGTGCAGGGAACCAGTATCTCTTGCACTTCTAACAGACGTGCTTTTCACCCATTTCGTTAGATATTTGCATGTTGTTGTATGATCATCTTTTTAGTATTCCCCCTGTCACCACGAGATGGGGCAGGTGGCCGTGGAAAGAATAACACGAACCAGATGGAAGTGTTTCTGGTTACTCCCTGCCTTGTTTTCTTTGGTCATTTTCTTCACCATGAGAGTGGTGAAGCACGGGAACAGATTGTCCAGAGAATGGACGTCCCTGGAGGTGTTCAAGGCCAGGCTGGATGGGGCTTTGAGCAACCTGGTCTAGTGGAAGGGGCCCCTGCCTATGGAAGGGCAGTTGAAACTCTAAAGTCCCTTACAATAGAGGCCATTCAATGATTAACATTTTGCACCATGGAAATAGAAATTTGACTTGTGTTTTGAACTCTTTGAAAATTATTTAAAATGTCTAAAAATTCTTCTCAGGAAAGAAAAGACACCTTTTTTGTTTTGTTTGGGGGATCTTTTAGAAATGAAATGAATATCCAAAATGCCATAGAATTTCAAAACTAAATAATTACTTCTTATCAGCTAGCTGTGTAGCCCATTTCGAAAGTATAAAATTTAAAAAACCAAACCAAAACAAATTTTAAAAAACCCAACAATCAAATGAAGATATGAAAGACATTTTTTTTTCCTTTGGAAAAATAATGGATATTTAAAGTTAGTAGGTTAGCTTACTTTTAATTCGGTGAAAATTTCATTGGGATTTCCCTTCCAAGAGATTTTAGCTGTAAGTAGAAGTTTCTCTTTGAACTAGTTTAAACTAAGGCTCTCTTTCTTGTCACGCACAGACAGGGAAATACTGCAAGATGCTGGATTAGCTTGTTCGCTTTTCATTGTTTTCTTTTGTAGCAGCAATCCGTTTAGCTATGGTATGCTGAGTTTATCTGATTAGCACTTAATGAATGAAGGGAATAGGAGCAGTGTTGCCTGAGTTACTTAACCCTAATCAAGTTTGCTCTACCTCCCCCGTCTTTCTAAATACCTGAACTTTCCTCACCCCCACCCCTTGCCTTTTCCCTCAACTGCAGCTCATTCCCATAGGAAATGCACTCTGGCTGCAGCTCTGTCAGCACTAGTGCTGCCATTAGCTGGATTTTGTCCAGTGCACATTGGTCACAACAGGACACCCTGCTCAACAGTGTTTGACAGTCTGTGTAGAGCTCTTACAAACTCAACTGCTGTTCTGCTGACTCCGTGCCTTACCTGGAAACACTTACTGACCTAACCACTACTGACCAAAACAACCTGTAACATGAGCATTTCTAACTTAAAACCATAACTGTAAGCAATAACATAATTTCTTGGGTTAAGTTAGCAATGTCATTTTTATGAGGATTCACTGTAGCTTAAATAATTGCATTATATAAAGAAATTCAAGAAAGCTGATGTTTAATAGTGCTTTAAAACTGTATGTGCCATACAGATTATGGTTGTTACCATAATAAACTCAATAAGCTTCTTGCATAACTCATGTTTTCCTCTGGATTTTAGCTTTATTTCCTTCCTTTATTTTTTATTTTTGTTTGCTGTTGCACTGTAAAATATTTGATAAAAAAGAAAAATTCTGAAAAATATTAGAAAAATAATTGACATGAGGTTTTGCTGTTTAACTATTTCTTTGGTGGTTCTCTTAGTTTTATACAGAGGTGCAAAGTTGTCTTAATACCAATGAAAATAGGTCCAAGGAAACTGCAATTGATATCTGTGCAAGAGATCCCTTATGCATAGAGGTTCTATAACTGTTGAAGAAATAAGAAGAAAGCAATAGAAATTTAGGTGAAGTGTCAATAAGATACTGGTGCTGCTTAGGAGATCTGAAGCTTTATAGGTTTACCTCTGAAAATATTTTCACTTATACCTGCTTAAAAGTACAAATATTTCATAGAAATTTTCTCACATTTCTTTTACCATTCAGTGTCCCCAGTTTATGATAACCATAGTAATAATAATAGAAATAATAATGATCTTAGCAATAAACATATAGTAATAGCAGTAGTGATCCTATTAGAGCAGAATATGTGTGTATGTTTTCAAATTTTAAAGATACTAGAATAATGTCAGAAGTGCAGGAATGCATTGGGGTCCTTGAGAAGGGTAGAAGGCAACAGTGAATGTTTCTGAGGTGTGCACAGCTTCCTACTGGGCACACCCCAAGCATTTTCCTTCCTGGGTGAGTTTCTGCAGCTGGTGGTGCTCACCTTCCCAGTGAAGTGCAGAGCACAATGTGTCAAGGTAAACTGTCAATGGTAGAGCCAGTCTGGAAGTGTTGCACTCTGAATTAAATGGCTGAAATTCTGGAGGGGAAATATGTTTTTTCACTTTACTGACAACCCAAATAGTGTCATTTAAACTTCTCCTTGTTTCCATTGTTTTGTTTTCATTTGTGTTTCTGTCCGTTCCTGAATATGTATAGCTCATGCCAAACGTCCATCCAGCCATTCAGATTGGAAAAAAAAGGTGTAAATGTGTGCATTAGGTATTGAATATTTTGTAATTTGATTCAAAGGTTTATTTAAATCACAAAAAGTATGTGTGTGTGTTTTTCTTTTCCCCTCTCAGGTTTGCAATTATGTGTGGCTATATGTCTCAGTTTGAAAGTATACAAAACAAAATCAGGAATGGTTATCTCTTTAAGGTATGTTTTTGTAGGATTTGGGGTTGTTTTTTTTTAAGCTATTCCTTTAAGTTATTTCCTTATATAGTGTCAAAGACAGGTTTTTCCAGCACAGTAATTCAGCCTCACGGGTCTATTTTGGTGCTGAAGGTAAATTGAAAACGTTATTATTATGTATGAAAATAAATTATATGATTGCAAAATATAAGAATGGAGGTAGGATTCTGAGAACAGCATTAAGGCTTTTCATTTCTTTTGTAGTCAAAGGGGGGAGGAAGGGCAATAATGATTCGGTTTAGAAAACCAAAACATATGAAATAGTAAGTGATGAACTAACACAGTTCTGCAGTCATCCTTCATGTTGCCCTTAAGTAATGTTTGTTTTAACACTTTGTCCTTGCAAAGGTAATTGTGTTTTTTAGAGTTAGCTGTTTGTGTTACATGTGCTACTCTCCTCTTCCTTGTCCTCAGCATTGCTTAGACACTTTCCATCCATGCCTTGCCCTCCAAGCTGGCGTGCCCCCTTTCTGGGTGACAGTGAAAGGCAACAGACCTGTTCAGTCCGTGGGGAATGCCTGGGATGGGCTCCTCTCACATCATGTCCGTGTTAGGACTTGGAGTGTGGCAGAGCTTCCCTATGAGAGAGCATTAATTACATCTGAGCTTTGCCAAGCAAGCTAAGCCCCGAGCACTGAGACAAGCTGGGAACAAAGGAAAAATGACAAATAACAAAGTCCTGCAGCTGTTCAGGGATGGAGTTTTAAAAGAGTCCACGGTGCAAGCAGTAGCCATTTCAGGAAAGTTTTGCTCCTCACAAGTAAATCCTGAAATCTGTTGATTTGGGAAAACAGTAGTATGAAAACATAGCTCTTTTCTGAATAGTTTGTGGATATGATAATATATGTATAAGTCAAATACTTTTGTGACTGGCTTACTTAGAAAGACACATACGTGTCTTTTCTCCGGGGAAAAATGTTCGAGCGAAATTTATTTTGAGAGGCAAATGGTAGGGCTGAAATATTTATTTTTTTCTTTCAGCTCAGGCTGAGCAATGAGAACTTTCTTTGGTGAATTAAAGAGATAAATAAAAGTACTCATGACCTGAAGTGAGAATGATTCTGGAGGGACCTCATTAGATGCTTTATAGGTTTTGTAGTTTCACTATAAACAGAACCATTTTGTTTTCTGAATTTCATATTATAATAACAGTTGGTTGTGTCAAGTACCATTTCATTAGGGCTGTCACATTCCAGGGTGGAACGAACTATGCTTCAGTAATGGGTGCTGGCATGTAAGATCTGTTCAAGAGTAGTTGCTTCCTCACTGATTTGATCTGCGATAGTTTCCTAATACTAACTGTAAATGAAATTAACTTTGAAATTGCCTTTTAAAGACAAATGTTTTTGAATTATTTGACTGAACTTTAGAGCTATTTAGTCATGTCTAAATACAGCATGCCTTCTTGCATTGCGTGCAACGTTGCTAAATAATTTTGTGGTTTCCCTCCATGAGGAAGGGATTTGCTAGTTAAAATTTTAGGTTGTTAGAAGACAATTGCAGCAGAAGAGAATTTCTGAATTTGTTTCTGACTTGCAACAAACTACTTAGAATGTAAACATGCTTGCCAAACAAGCATCTAAAGCTATACTAATTTTCTTTCCAATAGGAGCACCTAGACAAGGCAATTGAACTTAAGCCTCAAGATCCCTTTTTATATTACCTAAATGGAAGATGGTGCTATTCAGTAAGTTGTGTTTTATTTATCTGACATATGGATTGAGTATAATAAAAAATTATAATGAAATAGTGTGACTTAAGACAAAGTAGGTGTTTATTTAAGTAGATGCTTTGAGCTAAATGAAGCAGACATTTATACTTCCCGAGTTCACTACCAGATGCATGATGCTCACAGCTGACCATTCCTGCCATGTCATTAGGTAAGCTGTGCTTGTATGACCCTCATTGTTGTATTCAGGTTTTTTATCTGAATGAATGAATGAAAAGTAACTGATTTGTGGAAGAAAGGAAGAATGACCTCTTGAGTTTACTTCTTTCTTCTGCCATAAACTTTCTGGGTGAACCTGGGCTGGTAACATAGCATTGTGGTAGCTTTACTTCCCATCCATAACTTAAGTTAAAGGCACTTACATGCTGCAGGATTATGCCTGTGGCAGCAAGGCTACCATACTGGCTTGGTAAATTCCAAGGGAATGTCCAAAAAATATTCATGCTTAAAAATTTTTAAATCACAAATGAGTTTTGCAAGAAATGTAATTTGTGTCATACCAGTACAACAGGTGCTTTTAAAGATTGTTTTCGTTATATATTTTTTATTTATATTTTTTATAGATTGTAGTAGATTCTGTAGTGATAAGTACTCATATATGAAAAAAAAAGAATAATTGGTTTACAGGATTAACTGTTAATAATTTTTTTTTAGAAAAACTGTGCTTGTGCTTTAATAAGAGAGTTTTCTTTTTGGTAATCCACATCTTTGAGGGCTCAGCTAGTACTGGTTCATCTCTAGTACTTTGAGGAATCTTTTGTTGGAAGAAAACGTTCTTGTATTGTCTATGCTGTGAATGATCACTGTGAGTCTTCTCAGAATAATGACTGCTAATGCACAGTGAACTCCAGCCAAGCTTTTTTCTTTCGGATACTTCCAATGCAAGTCACTACAAAGTGCCGGCAAATTGGAAAGAAGGATTTGCTGTGACACATTGCAGACTTTTTCTTTATCTGCAACAAGACTTAATGCAAAGTAATCTTTCAGCAATTTTTCAGTTCATATATTTAACTTCCAGAGAGCTTTCAGCAGCTATGTTTTTTCTCAGTTGATTTGAATAAGGAATGACACCAGATTTTTCAAGGAATTTGGTTTTTTGCTTGTCACAGCATACTCTTGAATATCAGCATTAGCTATGCAAAAATAAGTTGCTGAAGATGTTTCCATAGTATGCCTGCTATCCTGCCTCTGAGAAGCATCTCTTTCACCAATGATTCCTTAAGCACTTTTATACTGTGCTGTGCCCAGCAGCTAACTGCAGCTTCCATTTAAGCCAAATACTCCCAGATGTTTTTCATGGCGTATTTCTCATGTGAATAGCTGCATTTTGGAAACACACGATCTCAGTATACCTCACTTTGTTCTTACTGCACTTTTTTTTCCACTCGTTTCATTTTCATGATAATCACCACTTCCTGACTCAGTAATACATGTAGTTTCTTGTACTGTATCATTACAAATTCATATCCCACACTTGCAACATCTATGCAGGGCTTCCTTACTAAACACTGAAACCACAGATTAGCATTTGCTTTAGGTTATGACCTGACCTGCATTTATTTAAGTGATACAATCTACCTAAACAGATGTAGCCACTGAAATATGTAAGGATTGAATTCAGATTTCTGTTGTTCTTTTTTTTTGTTAATTCTTGCCTTCTGTGACTGCCATAGCAAAATAGTAACCTGAAACACACAGAACAGATTTTTGTACTCTAAACAAATGCAAGTATAGGACTGAATAACATCTTGTTCAACTTCTGGGGCTGTCAGCTCTTAAAAACTTACTGTCTTTCCACACTTTCAGTAGCAAGATGAGGTCATTTGGAAATATTAGTTTTGAGGCATTACTAGTTTTAACCCTATCCCAGTGAGATATCCTCACTAGTTTTAGCAAAGTGAGTTGTTTCTGTGCTGATCCACTAACCCAGGTTTTGGCCGTGCATGTGATACAGGTAGTCATAGAAGCTTTTGGAAAGTATGCCAAATCCCATGCTCATGTTCTGAAGACTGTGAAGTTTCATGCTGTGGTAATTATCCCAAGAGAAGATTGTTGGCTGTGCATCTCTACCCAAATACTTTGTCAGGGTAGAGATTATGATGGAGTATTGAAAAATTCCTTTGTCACTCATCTATACCGGTACCTGTAGATGGAATGATAATGCTCCTCTTAGATGCTCTGTTTTTAATGCTCAGTCTCACTGATGTTAAGGCCGGGAAGGTGTTGTCCAGTGTGAGATAATTAAAGCAGAAAAGGGATGATTCAGGCAAGAAGGTTAGTTTTTACATTTAACCTAGCTGACTTTGGGATCAAGTTAGGATTGGCCACAATGTTTGTTCTTCCATAGGTATTTCTTCCCAGGTATTTTTGTGTCATTTTGGTCACATATTCTTTTATTGAAGCAGTGTCGTTAAAAAAGATAACAAGTTTTTGATGTTTTATAGGCTTTGATAGCTGTTTTATGAAATCTGATGTAATTAAGTCTTCCTAGTATAGTTAGGTACTTCCCATTCACTCCCAATTTAATGTTAGGGGATCTTATTACTGTTGTCTAGCATATGGTTTTTTTGGATGACAGACTTGCATAAGATACTGTAAATGGGGATGCTTAAAGTGTAACTCAGGGGTACAGTTCATTTTCACAAATGAAAATCCATTGAGGAGACTTTGAGGTAAAAGGTATAGAATCATAGACTCATCACTGTTAGAAGAGACCTTCAAGATTATGAAGTCCTACTGTCAATCCTGTCACCTCTAAACCAGTGGAGGCAGATGCAGAAGATTTATTGAAGACTGAAATGTGTATGCTGTACTAGTAAAAGCTATTTAATTAGTGGAGTTTAATCTGGCCTGACTGCCATTTCCTACTTGCCTTAGTGCAGCACAGTCCTTTGCAAGGAGCAGCGGTGCAGTGCTGCCAAGTTTTTGCTCAGCAGTTATTCTTGCTGGGCCAGAAATGAAGCTGACGCAAGGTGTCCTAGCACCTTCCAGCAGAAAGGGTAAGCTGGGTTTTCACTGCCTCACATCAGCTGGGGTTTGTCTGTGGTGCAGAGCCAATGACAGTTGTGCACCACCTTGTCTAAAAATCAGTTTTTGCTGTTTCTTATTTCTCTTACTATTTAAAATCAGTAGAGCTGTACAAAAGAGGAGGATCATAGAATCCTACCAACACTGTTAGAAAAATTACTTCTGGTATCACAATCGAGTCGGCAAGTTTTTCACCAATCATTTCATAGATGTCATGGTGGGCAAAATTTTGCCTATGAGACCTGCTGTGTATGCAAGGAGTGAATAGATCTATGGTGCATGGTATATAAGAATTATTTCCTTAAAGTTTTGGGCACAATTATCTGATAATTCTCTACAATTGTATGTTTGAGGGGGAGGGGGTGTTAAGTATTCTAATGTTTCAAATAGCTTATAAAACTTTCTAGTTAAGACTTATGTTTACTTGCCTTTACAGAACAGGCACAGAACAGCTAGCATGTACTTGTGAAATGGGATCAGAGTCGCTGGTAAATGCTAATAGTGTATTAAAAATTAGATCTCCTGGGATTTTCTTTCTGCAGGTTATATGCCATATTTTGGATTTGTCTCTGGTGTATCCTAGTGTCTGTTTGGGTTACATCTGGGAATAAATTTTCCCAGTTCCTTTGTGTGCTCTCTAAGTGAGTTTTCCTTACTGGAAAGTGAAAAGCCTAATTCAAGTTGGATAAATACCTAAATGCCTGTGCAGATTGCCCAGGTTCCTCAGCTGGCAAGAAAGAGAATGTTTTTGTTGGAAGCCAATATTTCAAAATTGGTGTCCAGTTACTTAATCTCTTCCAGAAGTCAAAACATTGCAAAATTGTTTAGTAAAATTTTACATTAATACATTGTAATAGAAAAGTAAAAGAAATTCTGTGGGGCTGTTTAATTAGGTGCCATTAGTATTTTACTGAAGCTGGATCAGTGCTGTGATTTGCCTTTATGGAAGACAATTGTGATCATGGATGGCTTTTCAATTCAGGCAGGTTAGTTTCCTTTGTACCAACATACTGGAATTTGAAAGGAGCTGTCAATGGGCAGGGTTTGCTTCTCATAAAAAACAAACAGAAGACAAAAATCCAGCCCATGTATGTATGTATATATATGTATACATATATGATATATATATATATGTGATTATTGCTCATCGTAGGCTAAGAAAGAGAAATGGATATTTTTGAAATTCATATTTAGGGGAGAGCCACATTTTTTGACTTGGCCGTCAGAGATACAAGAGGCCTAATGGAAGAGTGCCGAGTATGAACTTAATGTTCAACTGCAGTTTAATATTGGAAGTGCCTTCCTTCCATCTTGGGGTATAACAGAGATTTCGGTATAGGATAAATGGATAGCAGTTTGTTGACAGATCTATAGGAGAGTTTGGTTGAGATAAGCATCTCTATTTACTTTGGGATACTGAAGAGTGGCCTCCTCTTCTTGGCAAAGGCCAGGCTGTCAGGATGACCCACTACCCTTCAGCTCTAAGGGAGATCAGGAGTTGGTTGATGCTCCTCAGCCTTTGTTTGTTGCTCTTGAGTGTGTGGGAGTAGCTCTCCTTATGTTTGGCAGCTGAGGAGTGAATGTCCCTTGAGTGGCCTAGTACATTAAAACCTGATATTCTGTGGAAACACAGTGTTCCTTGCAGTGCTTCTCTGAATTTTCAGGCTTCTGGCAGGACTGATATCAGGGTTTAGGAGACCTAAAAAACCAAAACTCATTTAACATTTGGAAATCATTTGTAGGCAAGACCAATCTTCATTCCTTAATTTTGTTGTTGTAGCTATTACTTGCAACAGTAGTAGTTTACCTTATTACCTGCTGCACTCTACCACTCTTGGAACACTCACTAAGTGAAATCACGGTTCTGCTGTAGTTGATGACAGTTACCCTCTCTTTATACTTGATTTTCTATGGACCTCCAGATACACTTTGCACTATTGGAGTAACCTTGACTGTAGCAGTCAATTCTGCACTATGCTAGAGCACGTTACACCAGGGGCTCTATTCCTTGTGCTTGCTCACAGACAGAGAATGATTAATAACTTCGTATAGTAGGAACAATGTTTCCATTTCACTGAACATGGTGTAATAGCTACTCAAATAAAATTATTTCAAATTAAAGACTTTGCATGTGCATTTAGGGGAAGAGTATAGGTTCCTGTTCATCATTATTGCTCTGGGACACAATTTTGTGTATTGCATATAACAGGTCTTTTCCATTTGCCCCACTTCGGTTGTAGAGGGGTGCAGACAGACTCAGGCACAGTTAAACTGTTGTGATGGGATTCACCTCAGCTGCCTTTAGCTATCCCCAGGGTATGTGCTAGTTTTGTAGTTGAAGAAAAGAAAGATAGGAGTGGTCATCCCAGGCTAATGTAGGGGAAGAGGAATTGCCTAATGGAAGTGCCTCTCTGGATTGACCATGCAAGGAACCTGGACAACTTGTGTGAACTAGGTACTTCCTATATGGAGGGCTAGGTTTTGCAGCGACAAATTCAGAAAGCTAGTGACATATAAGTCTCACTGAATTTTCAGATCTTCTCTGGAATAGTCACAAAGTATAATGCTGGATAGAGTGCACATTAAAAAAACCTCACTATTGCCATAGAATCACAGAATTATTAAGATTGGAAAAGGCCTCTTAAATTCAACTGTTAACCCAGCCCTGTCCTGTTCACCACTAATCCATGTCCCCAAGTGCCACACCCACATGTCTTTGAACACTTCGGGGAGGTAATTATATCACTTCCTTGGGCAGCCTATTCGAATGCTTGACCACCTTTTCAGTAAAAGAGGTTTTCCTAAGATCCAATCCAAACCTCCCCTTTGTCTGGTCTCATCACTCGTTACCTGGGAGAAGAGATTAACCCCCACCTTGCTACAACCACCTTTCAGTGTGGGTGGTTTTGTGTGAAATGTGCATGTGCTTACATGCATTTCACTTTTAAGCATTGTTTTAGCTTGATGGGAATGGTGAAATAAAAATGGACAACTGCATATATGTTTGGGCTTTTTAGAAATTTGAGTAGTGCAAAGCAGCACCCAAGCCAGACAAAATAAAGACTAAAACCTCAGCAAATCAGTTCTGATTAAATCTCATAAGAAACTAAAGTAACTGCCAGGAAGAACTTGTGTTTTCAATAGTTAATTATAACTCCACACGGAAAAACTGCATTTTTGTTTCCTCACTATTGCATAACAGACATGAGTGCGGTAATTGTGTCTGTGCAGTGTGTATCTCCAGGGTGTTGTGTGCTTTTGCAGAGAACAGTGTAGCACATTCCCTTTATTTTTACCCCCTCTCTTCCTTCTACTTGATGTGATGGACCTAGAAATATAGAAACCGCCTTCCTCTTCGAAGAGAAGAAAGAACAAGTCAACAGTAATAAAACAGCACTTTGGCAAAAATTCTTTTAATAACTCTTGCAAAATATGTCTCAGAAACTATAAAACAGTGAGAGAAATGAAATGGGGAAGCACTGCAGGGGCAACAACATCTTGTTGCTCCAACGAGTAAGAACTGCATGATTGCTGAAGAGGTTTTGTAAAAAACATTTTATGTTCTGAGAAGAAGCTTCAGTGATGAGGTATGTGAAAGAGAATGAAAAAAAAAAGCTTTATTTTTGTAATATTGTTTCTCTCTGGGTTGTCATTTAGTTCTTGGGTGTGAGACACTTACTGACAACATGTAACAAATAAGACTCTGGGACCCTGCTGAGCAGCTAGCAAGACTTGAACAGGATGCCTTCTGTCTCTGTGCATTGCTGCTCTTATGTGGCTAGAGACATTGGGGCCAGATGAGAAAACGTGACCCTGTGTGTTTTCCTGCTGCATGCTGACCTGTATTTCTGGTCTTTGCAATGATATGTTTTGTTTGCAACAAGAAGTAGGTAGAACTTGATGTCTGTTCAAAGGAGAGGCATTCTAGTTGGTAGCTGTGGATAGTTATGAGAGAGTGGATTCTCATATTTACAATTATTATCTGACATCTGCAAAATTGCTGGATATAGGTAGAGCAGCAACAGCCCTGCAGATATTGAAAAGCCAGGGAATGAGGCAGGAATAATCTAAAACCAAGCAAAATAATTTTAAATTTCATAGTAATAGGAGAGACTTGAGTTCAAGGCTGAACTCTGTCATTTGAATTGCAGCTCCTTCTGAAAAAGAGATGTTCCTGTGTGAGTCATATCTCTCTCCAAGTCTCTGATGAGAGGCTCTCTTTCTTTGCCTGTTTGTGCCTCTTCTCTGTATTGCCTCTGCATAGATCAGGCCAGAAAATACAGAACCTTGTTTTTTACCATTTTTTGACTCATCTGCTCCGTGACAGGAGCCATCAGTGCTGTGGTTCAAATACTGATGTGAAGGGAAAAAAAATCCTGGCTTTTCTTTACAAAAGAGAAAAGGTGTGGTAGAAATGTCCAAAGGAAAGTGGCTTCACTCCTCTACTTAAACAGGCTCTTCTTTCACATTGTATTTCTTACCAACTCCATCCTTTGCTAGAGATGTGAGGGTTGGGTGTTGGAGCCAAATACCTTATGGCAGTAACCAAGGCAGTTTCTGTCAGGTGTCAGTGTATGTAAGGGAAGAAATCATGTGCATTGTGTAGCAATATGATAGTTACCTAAAGTGCTTTTATAGCAGCTCATCTTCCTGAGATTAGAAGAGGTCATTGGCAAGTTTTACTTGTCATGTAGGAAGAGCTAAAAATGAAGCCTATTTCTTAACAGTAGTTGTCACCAGCTTCTGTGTAATAAATGAACTTGTTATACAAGCACCAAAACCACATTTTTACTGCAGCAACAGCTAGTCATAATGTAAGAAGGTAGTCAAATGCATAGATTGTCATGCAAAGTTGTCTGTCTCATGAAAACCTTAGCAGGTTTCAAGCACTATTTCTAGTCTTAGGTTTTTTAAAAAGGCAAGATGCTATGAAACCTAAAATGTACTTTAAGCTTTGCACATGGAAGTAACCTTATATTGAGGATGTTGGTGTTTGGTCATATGACTCTAAAATACAAAAGACTGCTTTGAGCTGGCCAAACTTGACACTATAAAGCATTCCTTTACAGGTTCTTTTCCAAAATATGTTGTAAAGACGGCACTTACTACAAAACTGAGACGCAACTGTAAAGAAATCTGACCTTTTTTTTTTTTTTTTTTTAATTCTAGGTAGCTCAGTTGTCTTGGCTTGAAAAGACAGTAGCTGCTGCTCTCTTTGGGACTCCACCAACTTCAACAGTAGAAGAAGCATTGCAGAATTTCCTTAAGGTAAGTCCTAGCCAAGGGTTTTCCTGTGTTGCTCTTTACCAGATGTTATAAGTGAGTATTGTCAAGATGTCTATTCAACAGACCATGTTCAGTAGCTATAAATTCAGGACTCCTCTAAACACCACTGAACTTTCTATTAATTTTTTTTTTCCATTTTAAAATTAGTTTAGACATGAGTGGTTAGCACCTTTTTTTCTTTTATTTAGTTTCAGGAAATTCTCCAATTAATCGCCATGGTTAATAGTTATTGAATTGAATGTGATATGGGTATAAATTAGTTACATATGCTGCTGAAACAGATGAACCATAGTGATAGTTGCTGATTTGTCTGTTTCTGCAAGAGAGTTGGCATAGGCAAGGAAAACTTTGACATTCTGATACTTCTCTTTTTTCTGATCTGAAACTTTTCCGTTGAATTTCAGTAGAAGCCTTTCTTATTTGTGGAGATGAAATGGCTTTTGTAGTGAAGTAGAGAAGAAAGCTCTGTCATATAGGCCCATTTTCCTAGGCATTGTATTTGAACACGGTTATGAGAAAACACCACAATAATAAAATAAATCTATCTTTTATTGCCTTCCATATGAATAATTTCTGCTTCTGGAGCTCAAAAGCATACAAGTTTTTCACATGACTGGATTCAAGCATAAATTTCTAGCATTACAATTATTTTCAGAAAGTTTTTCAAAGAAATTGGACAGGCATCTTTTCCTCACTATAAAAAGTGCTTATTTTCTGTGTTCTTAGTCTATTTAAAGATTGAATGATCTCCTGAATTTTGGAAAGTACAATACATTACCATCTTCCCAGTTTAAGAGATTTTATCTTGAAGGTCAAATTCCAAATTTGGTAGAAATAATTTGAAACATTCACTCTAGCTTCAGGGCGTTTTGTGGTGGGCTGCAGAGTGACTGTGGTTTTAAGTCATCTTCAGCAACAAAAATCAAATTACTGTCTAAAAGACAACTGTTTAGGTTTGTTTTTCAGTTGTTTGATTCCACACAGTTGTGGTAAAGCAGCATTGTTTTGCTCCAAAGATTACAGCTACTATAGATTTCACTGATGTAATTTTCCCTTTTCAATAGCTGTTCTTTGATTAAAAGCTTCTTCTTTGTGGGTAGATAGTAAGAGTTTTATTCATCTTGCAAGCTTCTATATTCTTGATGTGTTAAAAAAAAAGACATTATTAAGCTTTTTTAATTGCCTGAACTTTTCAGAAGATGATAATTTTAAAAGGAAGGTGAACCCAGAGCTAGAAGATAAGAGACTGTGGAAGGGAAGTAATTGTAGAATTTATAAACACAGTTCCTTACTCATTACACAAAGTGTGAATGGTTGGTTGCTTTCTTATTTCTTTGATGAGGAAATAAATGTTAATAATCTATAGACAGTAGTATCTTTAAGCCTATCCTGTAAGTGAATTAATCCAATAGGTCTTGTACAGAATGACCCTAGATCTTTACAGAGTGCCTGGGGAGAGAGGAGAGCAAGCAGTACACAGAACATTTTCTGTGTTCACTGTCAGCATCTCATGTGCCTGGTTTAGGGTTTGAATTCTGTTTTTTTGTTTGTTTGTTTGTTTTCTTTATTTTTTTAAGTGCTACTAAACAGATTGCATTACACAGAGTAGGGATGATTTGGTCTGATGTTTGAGGAAATGTAATGCATTACTAAAAATGTTACGCAGACTGCATAAATCTCATTACACAAGTTTCATGTCTATTTTCTTTCCTGTTTTTTTTTGTTATTTAGGCAGAAGAAATGCACCCAGGATATTCCAAATGCAATTATGTGTATTTGGCAAAGGTAACCAAGTTCTTTTAAAAATAATGATTTTTAGACTCTGATATTCTTACAGTCGTCTGATTGGAAACAAAATGTTTTTTCTTTTCAGTGCTATAAAGATCTTGGCCAGAAAAACAATGCACTGAAGTGCTGTGATTCTGCACTGTCAATTCTCTCAGTTACTAATGAGGTGGGTGTTGAGAATGATAACTTGTTCCCTTGTGACTGCTGTCTTGTCTTTGGCATCCATTATTGCACTGCCGGTAACAACATAATGTTTCAGTTTTTTCTCTGAACACAGAACATTCCTTTTTCCTTCACTCTAGGTTGGCTCATTACAGTTGTCTCTATCAACAGCTTTAAAAAAAATCTGTGTTTGGGAACTGTCATGGACTTGTCTATATCAGAAATTGAATTGTACTCTTTGTAATTCAACCCACTTCATTAGATCATCCTGAGCATAAGCAAAACAGTTGAGTGTGTTACTCTAGCTGAAATTTTGCCCCAGACCTATGTTTTTCTTGGTTGAACGCACTCTGGATTTTTGTCCTACAGTCTCTGTCTCTGCTCCTGAAAGCCTCTGGTTGGCGATTCTTGTCAAGGGCAGTATGTTAACTACAGCAGAGGCAGATGAATTATTCAAGATTGGCTTTGTCTTCAACCACAGGCCAGTTAAGGAGGCACAGTTCTTCAAGTCACATCTGCTGGCCTAGAGTTTGTTCTAAGAGATTACTAGATTTCTCTCAGGGCCCATTACAGTATTTTAGGCCCATTAGAGCATTTTTGGTATGTGGACACAAAATTTCTACAAATATTTGAGAGATTTTAATTTGTTTAATTTCTCAAATATAAACCAAGTCATGGCAAGAAGGTTTACTGTGTTTGATCTCGTGTTGAAGCAAGTTCCATAACTGACCTATGAAAGGGAACATCTTACCATCCTAGAGCATGACGAGTTCAAACTTGAGCCTTTTCAGCCTAAGGGACACCCTCTGAGCACAGCAGATGTGGTATGGAGAAAGAGAGGTGATTCCTGAGAGGAATTGGCCACATCCCATTTAATTCTTTGAAGTTAAGGAAAAAGACCATTAAATAACTCTGTAACTTGATTGACAATAAATGCTGTGTGTGGAGCAATAACATGTTTATGTCAAGTGTTCCTGCTGGGAAGAAAGACCCCTGCATGCCTCACCAGCCGCTGCTCCTGGGTGGCCTAATTTCTGGCCCCAGTTATAGTATGTACCAATCATAAATTAAGTAATCATTGCTTAAGTTCAGTGTTTCTTTAAATATGATACTGATATGACATTAACAATTATTTAATTCTTTATTCTTTACTTACTGTTAAAATATACTTTCAGCTTGCCTATTACATAACATAGGAAAGGCTGCTATAAATTATCTGTTTAATATCCCATCACATGTCTGAAGTATCAGCAGACCTGAGAAGAAGGAACTCTGATGTGAGAGCAGGAATTCAAGAGAAGTATGAGGGATAGGTGTATGTATTCTGGCAAGCAAGATGGTGATAAGAACAAGAATTACACTGATTTGTATAATCAGAAGAGCGAGTGTCAAATGGGCCCAAAAAATCTTCTGTCCATCTGAAAAGGACAAGATGATTTGACCTCTCCTGTTTTGACTAATTTTATAGATATCTCAGATTTGTCTCCTTTTTCTTGTTTACTTGTGATGTGTTTTGAATTAAGTTTAGAAAAAAAAAGATACTAGAATATGGCATTAGGTCAGTATGGCATTCTTCCAGAAGAATATGGCATTAGGGCAGTAATATGTAATTCAATTTAAAAAAAAAACAGCGAAGCACTCAGCACAGGGTAAAAAAACAAGTGCACACTGAAAGAAATGACTGTGAAATGGAGATCTGGAACATGAACTCTGCTGTTGCTGACTGTTACCTCAAATCCCATCTGAATTAAAATATTACATGTTGTTTTGGTTATTGTGTTACAGAAAGACTGTTACTGGTTTTTGGGAAAATGTGTTGGAAGTGAAGTGGCTCAGGGCTTGGAGCTGTATGTAGGAATAACATTTAGTGAGATTAGTTTAAGAGGGGGAAGAGACTGTAATAAGACTGAAGAGGCATTGGGGAGAGAGTAATAAACAGATGCTAATATGCACTTTATTAGTGCCTGAATTGACTGCAGCCCTGCAGAAGATGGGGTTTGTGGTCTAAAAAAAAGCACAGGTTAGCAGCAGTATGAGGATTTCTTTCCATTTGCCATAGCTCAGGATCTCCAGGTTGTCAGCAGTATGGTGTTTTGTCACAGTCATGTGAAACCCATCATTCCCAAGTGCAATCATAGTTTGTCATATGAGTTTTCTCTTTCTTCAAGCAGGGGAACTCCTTTATTGTTTTTAATTTTTGGCTTCTAGTGCAAAACATGTATTTGTATAAAGGCATGAAATCAGGAGCAGACTGAGAGACGAAGTTGCTGGAAAGGTGCCACATTGAAGAAATGTATAGTATTTCATGATAAAAATCATCCCGCAGAAAAATTATCATAGACAGTGGTTTACTTTTTATTGCTTCCGAGCATTCACAGTTTCCAGTTACTTCTGGGAACCAGAGGTGCTTGGCATCAGTAAAGTAGCCCATAGCTCATTTTAATCCTGAGGTCAAATTCTCAGCTGCTGTAACTCAGGACACTTCTTTGACACTTTTTCTACGGTTCATTTCGCATAACATTTCGAGTTAAGTGATATTATTTTTGTCTTGAGTGTTATGTCACATCCAAATATCCCTTCTGTGCATCTGTTCTACCATTTATAGAGTTTGTTTTAATTCAAGGGGTAAAGGGGCTTCCAAACATAGGTAATTCTTGTTAAAGGAAAAAAAATCAGATGGCCTGATTAATGAGATGATTAGTTTCAAGCCTAATCTGAGTCTTAAAAAGTATACAGAGAAATTACAAAAAAAGAAACAAGTTCTGATTGAGTGAGTCCTGTACATTAAGAGTTACAGGAGGATTTTTTAAAAGAGGACAGTTTTTTAAAATAGCTTGGCACATTTTTAACTTACCAGTCTATGCATTCTTTTTATTTTAAAAGGAAATATGTGAGATTTGGTTCAAATTACATCTGGAAAAACATAGTTGATATTACAGTGCAACTTTAAAGACCTTTCTCTATCCTTTCTAAACAAAAAACCTCCAATGAATCATACAGTCCTTCCTTGGCCATAAATAGTGTAGAGTGGTACTTCACTGCTGGAGGTGCATGGGACATGAAATTGTCCAGTTTTTCTCTGGTTGCTACCCAGGTGGATAACCTCAGGGTCCTGGGAAACATTTGCCCCTTCAGTAAAAGAGATCCCAGTGTTCAGGGCTGCTGTGAGTTATTGTTAAGTGCTTAACAGCTGCTCTGTTCATCTAGAGGATGTTGCTTTACCCTTACTGAGACTCATTATTTTGTAGTGTGCTCAAAGCCTTGCTGAGTGTGACTATGTGAAGGGCTCTTGAAACCAGATGTGGTGGACTATTGTGATGGAATAAAATTACTTTTTTTAATTTGAAGATAAAAATGTAATTTAATTTTGAAATCATGAGCGTTTGTCTTGCATGCAGAAAGACAGAACAGGTAGAGGGTGTGTGTGGGGGTGGGTGTGTCTTTAGTTAAACACATGGTCCTTTGCTTGCAAGGGGAATAAGACCCTAATTTGTTGTTTATAATAAAGATTGTTGGAAGTTTTCAACGCTGGAACTAATAGAATTTCAAGTCTCGATGTAGAATTATAAAGTATAATAGTCACAGGACTGTTTTTTCTTGTGTCTGGAGACAAGCATGAGCATGGCAATGAACTCTGTGCTTGTAGGACCAGTAAGCTCACCACAAAGGAGTTAACAGCCTGACACAGAAGAGATTAAAATTTCAAGGTTCTAGTCTCTACTGCATTTTTTTTTAAAAATGAATCTCAAAAGCAGCAGTTGCATTACAAAAAGTGTAGTCTTGGAAGAGATGAAGACAGGAAAACAGGAAAAATGCAAAGGAAATCTATTTCCACTGAGTTGCTGAAAGTATTATTTAAAATATAGATTAAAACTTGCCCAAGGCTAAGAAAGTGTTTTTTTATTGGTGATTTTGTGCACTCCATCCTTCTCAGTAATTAGAAATGATGGCAATTCAGAGTTGAAATTAACAAGTGTGAGAGATTTAGACTTTACAGAAATTCATTATTATGACATTAACTTCTTACAGGTGAAGAATGGCAGGAAGCAGAGACTTGCTAAAGACTGCCTTCAGCCTCAGTGACATCTGAAACTCATGTAGAGGAGGTCATAAATGTAATCATAAGCAGCAATAATGGCTGTATTTTTACACAACAATGCAGCTGCTTAGCTCATGCTCATACAGTTTTCTTATGTTTTTTTGTACAACATCATAATTGATTTCCCTGGCTATTATACACATTTTTAATATTGTTTATAAGGAACAATGTGGGAATTGCAGAGGGATGGAAGAGAGGTCAGAGTATTAATTTCATCAGCCATCAGCTGTTCCATTCCAACAGACTGTCTGGATTTTCAAGTTTTTCCAAAAAACACCCACTCCAGCAGCCATGGATTGATATTGGTATGAGCAGACCTTGTTGTGATATACCAAGAGATCTTATGTGAAGCTGCTATTGTAGTCTGTCCTTCTAAGTAAGATTTTGAGGAGAAAAAAGTAATTTACTCTTGCTTTTAAAGTGAAGGTTACAAATTAAGACTTGTTTTTGAAAAAAACTACCAATTGAAACTGAGTAATTTGGGCTAACCTTATAAAAGTGTTTTTGTTTTCTCATCAACCAGAATATTTTCTTTCCACATCTTCAGCTCAATACAAAATGTCTTGCTTTTCAGAGAATATTTGTTGCTTTAGATTTTTTTGCACATTTGTCCTCCAAATGGCCAGCAAAAATCAATGATGCTTCAATTGAAAAATAATGGAAGTGTTCAGATTTGTGTTCATTTTAAATTCTAGGCTATTGTTTTCCTGCTAGTACTGTTTGTGGAGTTGAACAAGAATTTCCTAATAGCTACCACCAACTCAAAGCTAAAATATTTTTGGAGTGTGCTGAAAAAACCTATTCCTTAATTAGTGGTTTTGTGTACAATGAATGTGACTGCTTCAAGCTGAGGGAATACACTTTTAAAAAACTCATTATAAAGAAATCAAATTTCAAACTAAAATTCTAGGGGAAAGTGAGACATTTGTGAAAGAGTTGCTAAAACAATTTGAGACTTTCTATATTTTACATTATTTTGCACTTCAAAGAATAGTCTATTTTTCTCCATCTTAGTGATCAGATCAATTTTTTATCTGCATGTTTTTAAGTGCTTGAAAAAAAGTTTGTGTGCATTGTCTACTTATTTATTCTCTCCCTCTGAAAATGATTCCAAGAAGTGATGAAGATATTTTTTGTGGTGTCACAGTTTCATAACATAAGGATGAAGTTTATCCTGATAAATACCAAGCTTATTATATTTATGATGAAACTGACTATCACACAGTATTTGTTTTAACATCCTGTCAAAGTTAACACAGTTTTAGCATAGTTCTTAGTCCAGCAAGAATGGTCAGCAGCGAGTTCCCCAAAGTAAGGAGTGTGTCTCCTCCACTGGCATTCTCATGATGCAGGGGCAGAGTGGAAGAAGTATTCGCAGAAGTGGTGGTACACTCCAGGATTACAAAATTGATTGGCAAAAACCCATTTTGAATTTTTGTACAGTAGCTGGGCCAAGTCAAACTCCTGGGATTTTGAAATATATTGTCTTGGAGGCAATATACAGGGTGAAGGAAAGCCTTGACAGGCACCTATCTGAGGGGGCTGTAACTGGGTGTGATTGTGTTCAGGCTGTTTCAGCAGTGACAGTGCAGAAAGAAAAGCTGTAGGTCCCATAATGGGAGAGGCAGCAGCCAGGCAGAAGGAGGAGAATTTCTTTAGCACCAAATGCTCCACACTGTGTACAGTAGTAAAAGAAAACCAGATCATAGGTGAAAATTTAGTCTTTCAAGTCAAGAAAGAACTAGCCAACTAAAATTTTACATGACTACTAACTATTCTGAATTGTATTCTGCTGTTTTGTAAATTTTCAACAGTAGTCCTTGAATGAGCTGAGTTGTTTATTTGTATTCTTCTGGGTGCGAAAGGGTATTTTCCCTCTGCCTGAAGTAATATCCAAAAATCTGTGATTATTGACAGCTGCATATTTTAAAGCTCTGCTTGCCTTGATCCTAAAAGCCTTGAGAAGTTATGGTTAATCCCCAGAGAAGATAGTGATAATATGAAAGAATATAGAATGCGCCAGCTTGTGACATACAGCAGTCATGTACAAGGTGGCACGTGGATGATGGCCTTGATGTGTTAAAATACCAAAGGACAAGACTCATGGTCTTATACAATTGTTAGTGCACGCTACAGTCACACCATCTGTGAGAGTCTGTCAGAGAACCAAGAAGGGATAGAATAGCATTTAGCTTTGCATGATTTATACTGTCCACAAGAGCTATTGCTCTCTAACAACCCTTGTGCATGTTTGGGAGTCTCTTCTGCTGCAGTCCAGGATTTCTCCTGGATCTGTGAGGGAATTATACAGCTGTACCCAAAAGCAGGAATGTCTCTCAGCACCTCATTGCTGTTACTGCATATCAGAGTATGGCTTCGGACCACCCTTGCAGCCCAGCTCATTGAAATATACCATGCTGCCCTGCTGACTTCAGTGAAACCCTACAAGATGCATGTCAGCTTGGGATTTGGCAATGGTTGCACACAATTATGTTTTCCTTGGCTGGTGTAACCATTTTAGTTGTGGTCATGGGGCTGTATCATTCTCTGTTGACAGTTGGGACTTTGTCAACAAGTGCACACATGTGCAGTGCCTGGGTTGAGTGTATTAGCACATAAGGAAATAATTAGCAGAGATGGAAGGTAAAATCATTATCTTTCTGTCTTGCTTTAATTACCATTTAATTTTTACATGCACATTTATATGTGTAACTCTCCATGTACATGTATCAGTAAATTTTTTTTTTTCAGCAAAAATGAACTGTCAAAATGTGAAGTACTTCCAGTTAAGCCAACATTCCCTTTTTCCCACCAGCTCTCTCTTCTTTCTTGCCCTTGTTTTCAACTCTCTCTCTCCCCTTGTTCTGTCCCTGGCCTCCCAGGTCTTTTTTTCCTGTGCATATCCCCTGTGAATGATGAAACATAAAAGTAAGGCAACAAAATAGGAATAAGGCAAAATACAGTCCCTGACCCTGTAATTTGAATACATTTTGTGTAGCAGTTTGCAGAACATTTTGAACTCATATTCAACTCTGAAAATGATATAAGGAGTGTTAAATAAATATAAGCCTTGACAATAGAAAGACGAGGCTGAAAATGGCTGTGTTCAGTCAGTGCTGAGTTTAGCCTCAGGGTGAACAAATGGGACCGATGCAAGTATATTGCATTCCTCCTACAACTTGCATCTCTTCTTCTGTTTGCCACACTCTAAAATAGAAACTCTGCTGTCTGGGAAAAAAAGAAAAAAAGAAAAAAAAAATAAAAGCTGACCTTATTGTTCATTTCCAGAAAGCCACAGACCCAGAAATCAACAAGGAAGAGAGTTGGCCCAAGACAGGATTTATGGCTTTTTCTTTCCATTATCAGCCAAGCTTTGGGCAATAATGAAGTTTTCACCCTTAAAACCAGAAACTAGTACACTGAACAGAGTTGTGGCTTCTCTCTCCTTTTAGTATGACACACCTTTTGTCTGGATGGACTCTCTCCAAAGGTGACATAATAATTCCCTTCACTGACCATTCTCAGCTTTGTTTTTAATGCCATTACTGATTTTTTTCAATGCTTTTGCCATATGAGTTCTTATTGACTGGAAGCTGCTTGCTCAAATAATGCAACCCGTTGAACAGTTTGCAACAATAATTCCTGCTTTAACTGATGTAGTTTTGTTTAGAACTGGCAAACCAGAGATAGAATGCTTTGCACGTTTTCAGATTCTTCTCCAGACAGTTCTTAGAACAATCTTGAGTTTTGTTCCATTCTTTTTCCTAAGCCCAGAGGAAGATCCAGGGAAGATTGCCCAATGTTTTCTGGACCTTTGCGACTTGTACAGCTCATTGCCCAACATAATCCTTTACTTCTAAAGAGACAATTATCCAAAGTTGTTTGGAGATTTATTTTTAAAATGCTGTATCCTGCAAAATGAGTAGAGAATCCCATCAACTCATGAAATGCTGAACACTATTCAGATATGAGAAAACCTGCACCTTTATAATCTTCAACTTAGAAAAATGTCATAAGAGTACAACCAGATACAATTAAGATACCAGATATAGTTTTCCATTTCTTATTAGCATGGGACAATATCTGGCTTTTTACTTTTTTTTATTTAATGGAGTTTAGAATAGTTTTTACAAGTTGACCACAGTCAATACAGAAAAGAGTGTATTTTCCCTGAATTAAGGGAAAATTTTGAGGTTTTCAATTTTTGTTTAAAGCAATGGCCTGGTGCTCCAGACAGCCTGTAGTGACGTGGAGTTTAAGGGGTGCTCAATGCTATATGACATTTCCTTCTGTTCGAGTATTTTGGCAAGAGCTTACTGGCTTTGCAGTGTGTGCCTTTAAAGGCCTCTGATAAATGATTAGGCAGATAGTTTAGCCTATTGTTGCCAGTAGGAGTAAGGCAGTAACTCCAAGAGTAGTGTCCAGCTAATTTATTAATGCCTTAATCCAGACCAATAATATGATGTAGTTTGACATGTCTGGCATATGGTTTCTATCATCTCAATATTCTTCTCTGTTCCTACATGACATTATAGACAACTAACCAAAATAAAGAGAAGCAGGAACCCATAAAATATATTCTAAAATGTTCTGCATTTTGTTCCAGCTCTTTGGTTGATTGAATAATGAAGTGATCCTGAAATCTAGTGATTACTTCACTGACTGTCTACAGTATTTTCCTTCAGACTATCCCGTGGCATTATCATTACTGGTCCCTGTCATTAGAAATACTTACACAAAATCAGTGATGTGCAGGCACTTTTCACTTGAACTGTTAAATATCCATGGGTGCATATGTTGGGTGTTTGCACCCTTATGAGCTTTCAGGCATGAGGTGGTGACATTTTAGAAATGTGATTTTAAACCAAAGTGCATTTTGCAAGCTAGTAGTTTTGCAGCAGCAGCTAAAGGAAGCAGATTATATCCAGGGGACATTTAAAAATAAGTAGAATAATGGAGTTTTTGTATGTGGTTACATGCCTGTATGCTTGTGCCCCTTTCCAAGCAGATTATGCATGGAACAGCCAAAACATATTGGGTGCCTGTGAGACAGTCTTAGGCCTGGCTTAGGTTTAAAGCCCAATGCAAAGTGTGCACTTAAAACATTGGCCTAAAAGGAGCCTTTTCCTGCTGCCCTAGGAGTACAGTGTAGTGTTGGCTCTGAGCTCAGCAGGTCACCTGCCTCTTGCTCCCACATTGGCCCCACTCTGCCCTGAGCCCAGTAGCATAGGCAGAGCCCAGTCTGCAAGATACTGAGGGTGCATCAGCCCATGGTGTCTGTTGCAGGTAGGTATGGCTATGTGCATGGAAACCGCAGTCTAACCTGTGTCATTCATTACATTTCCCAATGTTTTCTTCTTAGTTGCATAATAAATCATTAGCAAACATCACAGAACACCTTTAGAGAAATTGCATGTGGTCAGGATGCAAGATTACATCAGGTATAAGGCAAGGCAATATTTTATGCAAAGTGCACCAATAAAAATTATATCCCGAGCTGAAGGGCTTACTGGTCTGCTGAGAAGGCTATTTGTGGGCTAACATTTTAAGTGCTTTAACAGAGCTGTAAAGGGAGGCCGCCATCTGGTTCTTGTTTTCACTTCAAACTTAATTTTTGTATTTACTGATAAATTAACCTACTATGCAGTCTTTAATTTTGTGGCTGTTTCAGTTGTGTGTTATGTCTGTTGTTAGTAAAGAAATGTGGATAGACACCTATTAGGCAAATGAAGGGATTTAGCCTCTCTGAATTGATGCATGGTTGTCTGTTTCTTTCAGGATAAAGAAGCCCAGAAAGACTTAGAAGCTTTACTTCTTACACTGAAGCTCTGATACTGCGTACTTCTAACTCTTCATGCTGTAATAAAATTGTAAAACTAAAATGAGACTGGAAACTGCGGTAAATTTCAGCTAAGTCAATGGAAAAACAGTCATTGATTTTGGTTGACTTTGATCATGGCCTTTAAGTGTCTGGCAATTATGGTATTAAAATAATACATTCATTTTTGATTATTTATAATCTTGTACTGAAGTTTAATTTTAGATTTCTGACACTGTGAGTCTGATTCTCTGAACATGAAGTCCACTTCTGGCAATGGACATACAGGGGGTTTGAATGCAAAAGGAATAAATCTCACTCTTTGAAAGATGACTCAACATCTAATACGTGATGCCAGCATAGAACTGCGTGTAGCATAAACAAACAAAGAAATGTTTCTACAGTAAATTATATTTGTATCAACTAATTTACACAGATGTGTACAGAAGAAAATAATGAATATTTATGTTTACACATTTCTCTACTCCTAAAAAAATTACAATCTTGTTTAAGTTAAACAAAGCTGTTGCCACAACAAAACTCTTTTTACTTTAAACCTATTGTTGGTTTTACAAAGTAATGTGAAAATTTTATAAATTAAATGTTATAATTTATTTGTAACATCAAGTATGATATTAAAGATAAGACCAATTAAATAAAGTGGTTTAGATTAATCTATTACAGCAGTGATATTTAATGGATTTGTATCAGGACCTCCAGCAAGTTTGTGATGTCTGGCTCTTTGTCTTTAGTTTGAAGAGTTTCCTAATGTGGTTTCATTTGAAGTCCCTAGTGCTGCATGTGGCCATCACTAACCTTTTATATCATCTATATAACATAACCTGTACATAAAAATAGACTACTAAAGACCTACTACTTCTGAGTCTGTTGGACAACAGTGTTTCAATAAAATGTAGCAGATAGGGAAAGAATTTCTATTCACCACTGGAGTGATCCAAAATACACCAGAGTTTGTAGAAGAAGAGAGGCCAGTCGTGATTGCCTTTTAATTCATGATCTTAATCTAGATGCAGGGAGTGTATATTGAAGAAGTAGGCATTTCTGCTAAAGAACATGGAATTGAGTAAGGACAACTATATGTTTCCTTGATCTATTTGATGTGTAAGATAATGTGGACCACTTTTTGGCAAAGACAGGGAGATCTTCACAAATTGAAATAAGCATATTAATTTTTTCGAATGTTCATCCTGTGGAAAAAATAGTTTCTATGTGTCTTTCTCAATTAAAGAGTTCTTTGGTTTTTTTATACATAATCTCAGAGAAAAGGGAATACCATGAAAGATTAATCCTAACAGTTCCTTCTATGACAGTATTGTGATTCATACAGAGTAATTGGCTTGTGAATGGGGAAGCTGGAAAAAATCATCATGATTTTGGTAAGGGGCTGTTGGTAGTCTGCTTTTGGTGTTTTCATAGCCAATGCAGGAAGCACAGTTTAAAAGAATCTACAAGAATGATTTGTACTTAGGGTTGTTGTTAACAATTCAATGTCACCTAGGAAGATGTAATAAGGAGGCCTTTCCTGAAATCAATTTTATGCTAATTGGTATACTTTATAAAATAAATTGGATTATGAAATAGATACTTCATTTACAAGTAATTATTGCTGATAAAAGCTGAAAGTATATTGGAGAAATAGATTGGAACAAGAAGTTACTTAAATTAATTACTGAAATGACATTATGTATGTAGGATTTACTTAATTAAGGGCAAATATAAAGTCTTGAATTGAGGTAATTAACAGAAAGAGATTGGAGGAGACCAGGCTTATAGTAATTCTATGGAAAAGGATATGCAAATTCCAGTGAGTGGGAAGTTAATAATGGGTCAATAACGTTATGTTTTTGTGAAAAAGCAAATTTCATACTAGACTGAATAAATAAACATTCCCCCATTAAATTCACACAAAATAACCTTTTACGCTAATTAGGCCTAATAAGTTCTAATGAGGTCTGAGCTGGTGTACTGTATCTGGTTTCAGGCAACACACTTGAGGGAGGTTGTGGTCTAACTGGAAGGAGTCTAGTGGAGAGAGAGACAAGAAATATGAGTGTGCTAGCCAACATTATTTTGCATGTAAAACAAGAAAGAATTTGGTGTGTTTAGTCTGCAGGAGCAAGGACTAAAGGAGTATTCACATTTGTAAAAAGCTTTTGCAGAGAAGACAGTAAAAAAAGAGCCCCAAACCTTGTTCTTCAAATTTCCTACCTTCTGATTAGGCATTAGGAGAAAATAATCCTGATGGTAACTTTGCAAAGACCTGCAATACATTTCCTGAGAATATTATAAAATAATTTACTTAAGTTTTTGTATAAAAGTTAAATCAGGTTTCATACATTGGCAGGGTTTAAGGCACTTTCATCCTCTGGCAGAGGCTGGACTAGATGACTTCTTAAGATCCCTCCTGGCCCTGCTGTCCCTGGGGAGTGCACAGCGCCAGCTCCCTACAAGCCGTAGGCACTCCTGCAGGGGCTCAGAGGTCCGTGTGTCTGCACACACTGGCTCAGCATTTGGGCCCAGACTACCAAATGAGTTTGTACTCTGAGGTATTCATCAGCATGTTTCAACACTTGAATTTAAAGATGTACATCATGACTGCCGTTGACTATTTATTTAATATAACTGTGGTTTTAATCCACAAGGTTACATTTTTAAAGAAATTTATGATTTTATAAATGAAATTACTGAGCCTTCATTTCAGCCTTCTGAATTAAGTCCATTATTCAGTTTTAATTTTTGCTCATTATTAGTGTATGTGTAGAATTACAAATTAACATCTGTGACAGAAAAGGCTGGGCTTAATTATTTAATTCAAAAACGTCTTTAGTAGTTTGCAGAAATATTAGTCACACAAGTAAGAAACAGCAAAGATATTTTATGCTTTTAAAAGTTTTTTGCTTTTATATACAGTATACTTATATTACATTGCTTTTATATACCATATACATGAGCATTTTCAATTTTCTTGTTTCTGATTTCCTAATTTCAGAACTTTTAAAATTGAGGCATGTTCCCTAGATTGTTCCCTAACTGCTCCTTGGAATGAAGCTTTTGCATTTAGTTGTAGGCCCAGGCTATCTGTTTTCTGTGTCGTACCAGCTGGAGAAAAAGCAAGCATAGCTCCAGAGGCCATATGTTTTCTTTTTTGTTTAAAATATCCACAGGCAGACAGTCACTTCCGTAGTTTTGTCTCTGTGGAGAAGCTAGATTTTGTGATTCTGTATTAACCCCCTCTGGGTTTGAAGCCATATGTAGCAGATGGGGCTGCAGGCTTCCTGAAGCCACGGTACTTCCTTCAGTTCTTCTACTGGGGCATCTCTTGTTTGGTCTCTGCTCCAGTACATACACTGTAAATCCTCTGTGGTAATTTGTCTCTTTACATACTTGAAAAAAAATGAGCTCAGGGAGCCTTGACCTGGTACCAGGATTTATGTGTTTCATTACAGTTAAAACTACTAGTTCTGCCATCTGTGAAGACTGAGGTAAGTTTTATTTCTTGTGGTGAAGTTAAGGCTTCTGTTACCAAATCCTAATCCCTTTGCAGCTGTCTCTCTGCAACACATAAAGCATGTGATACATTTTTTGTAGCGATGGCACAGACACATTGTGGCGATGGTAGCAGAAATATGCTCTCATACTACTTTGTTTAGAGCACTGTCTTTCCTTCTGCAGAGTCATGGTGAGATATGCATTTCTATGTAGTAATATCAATACACTGACATCTGCAGTCAGTTAGAAAGCTGTCCACCAGTGGTGAGTAGCTGATGATCTGGAAAAGAAAGTGACAAGTCCTATGTCCAGTTCAATTTGAAAAAGAAAAAAAAAAAACCTCATGTAAATCCATGCCTACAACTCTCTATTACAAGTCTGAACTAAAAAACTGACCAAACAAAATACACACCAAACACAAAAACACTGAAACCAAAGCAACAACAAAAGAAATGCAATAAAGGAATGGCTATTCAGAGATCCAGCCATGCTGAACCCAAACATAGCAGCTTGTTTGGATCTACTTATCTTCAGCTATTACTACCTGATCACATTCTACTTGAAGTACCTAGAACGGTAGGGAGGTATTATGAATTGCAGCAAGATTAGTGGGTTTTCTGGAATTTTCCTGGACATTCTGGAGGCTAGTCTTGTGGTGTTTTTTCAGTGGGCACAGTAGTGTCTTACACCTACTCCAAATCAGAAAGTGTTGTAATGTGACAAAATTGTATTGCAGCATTTGTCCAGTGCAAACTCCAGGAGTGACTCTGAAGGGCCAGCATTATTATTTGCACTTTTTCCTTCTGCACATAAGATTATATTCTTATTTTCCAGCACTTTTCCTTCTTACAGGCTTCCAAGTTCCTTGGAGAAGGAACAAATCAAACTGTCTTGACAATACAAAAAGAAGTAAGCTTTTCTGGCCCTGTCTATTTTTGTGTAACCAATGCATGTGTGATGCTGGGAAATGAAGCATTGGAACTAAGAATGTGGAACATTAATATTTATTTTTTTTTTAGGAAATATTTTACTCTTTTAAATAAACAACCAGTTACTCTAGAGGTATCTGTGGGATCCAGTGTGAGCTTGAATATGAACAATCTGAGCTCTGTGCTTGGTAGTGCTGCTGACCCATGATGTGGCTGTGGGGTTAATCTCCTTAGCTACATACCCAAGTTACACACACGCAAACACAGTCTGTCCACTCTTCATATGTTTTGTTTATTAAGATTAATTATGAGCTGGTTTGAATTGCCTACATGTATAAGCTAAAAATAGAGCCACACAATATTTACAGGGAATATTGTATCCTAAATGTGTGTTAAGGATATAGGCATGGATATGGATGTGCTTTTTCCAAACTAAGTTCACGTTTCTTATTCATGGATAAAGGTAACTAATATGGCTGTTGATATTTCAGTCTCCAGAGAGAAATTATTTTGTTTGCTGTTCAGAAAAATGTGGCAAATCAGGAGAGTGGACTCAATGATTTACTTGTGTGTTCCTAATCTTGGAAGAGAATAATTTATGAAGAAATGAAAATTCATTTGTAAAGCTCCTGACTGTGGTTCTGGGTTAAGGATTTCTCTTTTGCAGAATGTTAGGCCAGCTTACATATTGCCCTATAAATCATATATAAAGTCTTAAAATGGTAATAAAATACATGTTTTTCAAATTAGAACAGCAGAATATATCTAATGCAACACATTTAAGTGCAGCAAGGGGTTCATATAGAAGCACTGCTAGAATGTGTGTTGATTTTGATACCACCAGTGTATGGGTATTGGCAGCTTCAAGCACAGCAGTGTTTCTGCTGCCTTCACCATGAATCCCTAAGCAAGAATTACCAGTGCACACTGGCACAAAAGACCATAACTGAGTGTGTGATCCCACAGTCATTTGGCAACTTCTTTGTTTTAGAAGTCTTTTTCTTACTGAAGGGTAGTTTCATGTGATTAGTCTTGTGACATTTTCGTGCCATTGAGAGCATGACAACACATCCTCTGGATATCAATGAGTCCCAGGCTTTGTGCCAGGATGAGATTTTTTAAAGTACCTGCATGACCTTGTATGACGTTTGCTTCTGTACATCCTAGTGCTCAATCCAGCTTGTTCAGCGGTGCACTGCTTTCATGCCCTTTTACAGCCAGTCCTACATGTCTGAACAG